AAGCACTAAAAACTACGTTTATACCTCCTGTGCCAGACAAGCACAAAATTTTTAATAAAGATCTGCAACAACACTAAACAACTTTGTATTTGTGTTACTTCAGCTATGGTGCTTTGATATAATGTTACAGGACGAACACTGAGATAATGATACTAAAAAACTGTTTTGCTGCTGAGACATATTAAATTTTCTGTTAACATGTCCTGCAGAGGTGTGTGGGTATATGAGCCAGTGATTCATGCTTTTGTGTGTAACAAAGCTAATCCTCTGTGTGTGTCTGAGAAAAATATCCCACCTGGTGCAGGATAATTCCTCCATTGTGTGTCCATGTCCTGCTATTATCTTCATTTTCTTGCTTTGAATCAGCTTCTCGTTAAGACTCAGTGACTCATTCCAGCACATATGTCACTATACATCCAGTGAAGCATATTTGCCTGTCTGGACATATTTACATACATCTTTACACGGTACACATGTACAAAGCCTCTTGCAATGATGTTTCTTTATTCATTTGCTCTATTTCTCTCAATATGTTTGATTGCTCACTGGTTGTAGCAGCTTCATTACTCTCTATATGCCTCTTGTTCTCTGTGGATAAAGCTAGCAAAGGTCCCTGCAGACATTATTAAAATTTCATCTGAACTTAGCCAGTCGATTAAGGAGCTACAACCATGATGCAGCAAGATACTGCTGCAGTTAAATGTATGACTCAAATAATAGACAGTGCTGTTTCTAGACTTGTGACAAGCTGTTGTGGGCAAGAATGTTTAAACAAGAAAAGGACATGAATAAATCTCTCTTGCACAAATCAACTTATTATATATTTGATGTAGTTTCATACAGTATATATACTGTATTTCATATATTTGAGAAAGGCTAAAAATAAAGAGTGAGAAGAGGCAACTGTGGTGCCGATGGAGCTAATCAGAAAGCCTGAGCAACTTTGCGATACTGGAACGTTCTTGTTATTCATCCCTATATCTTCCATATCTCTTCATATATGGAAATCGGTTTGATCACACTAACTTGCCTCTAATTAGTGACTCTCGTTTATCTGATGGATCATTACCTCCACTATCCAACTGCTGTCAGACAGTGAACACCAGATTTCCTTAGTTTTTTGCTACTAGCAAGTTTGTCTATACACTAATACACTTGATATGAATCTAGGACATCATGTGTTCATAATTACCTAAAAAAGTTCAATTATCCAAAGGTGTGAATTTATATAAACACTGGCATGGTGTTGACTTGATTTTACACTCTCAGGATTAGCACAGAGGTTTCTGACGTGTATTACACCGTTCAACTTGTTGAAAAACCCTCGCTTCTCCAGGTATATCTGAGCATTTCGCTCCTTTCATCATGGCTGGCAAACCTGCCTGCTATCATATAATTAAATAAGATTTATATCATCACACAGAATAATTCTGTGTGGGCTGATGGTGAATATTTCTATAGCCAACTTTCCCCCTTTTTGCACCAGCCCACTCACACAGTAATTGAGAAACTGGCATATCTGAATATACAAAAAATTGTGGTGTGGGTGTGAAGATGTCCACGGTTGAGTGGCCAAATTCAACCCACTCAAACTGCTAATTGTGAAAGTACTTATCAATAAATTTCAATGGACATTTGTGATACAGGTATAATTAGTTCTGTACTGTACCAGTATGCAGTCAAATTTACATATATGATGAATGATTTATGACAGAGTGGTTGCATTTCATTTGGCAGCACATTTTCATTCATTTGTATTTTTAGCTCCTGAGATCATGTAACTCTCTGAGAATGACATTCATAATTTTTGAGGGTTGTTCATTTATGATATCAAAAACAAAGGCAGCAAATGTGCATTCTTTGTGGGCATTACACTATCCTATCTTATACGCTGCTACTGATGCCATAAGGGGGAGGGAAGGCCTATAAATATAGTACAGCCAGCACACCTTCAAAAATCTTTGGATGATAGTATAAGTTCTCTCCGGGTACTCCAGCTTCCTCCCACAGTCCAAAGACATGCAGCTTAGGTTGACTGGTGACTCTAATTTGCCTGTAGGAGTGAGTGTGGTTGTGTGTGGCTGTTCGTCTACATGTCAGCCCTGTGATAGACTGGTGACCTGTCCAGGGTGGACCCCGCCTCTCGTCCAGTGTCAGCTGGGATTGGCTCCAGCACCCCACAACCCTATTCAGGAATAAGTGGTATAAATAATGGATGGATGGATGATAGTATAAATTTAAATGCCAATAAAACTTTGCAGAATGTGACTAATTTTGTTTGCTGCTAAGAAAAGGTGTCTCCTTCCCCTGACTATTTGCTAACTATAAAGCACTTGAAAACCTCCACCAACGCTGAACAACTCTCCAACTTACACCCAAACAAACTGTTCCTAACACTTCAAACTCAAGTTTAACTCATTTTTGGCCTCTGCAAAGTTATCCCAAAAGTTTTGGAATCAAGTCTGTTTTTTTTTTCTTTTGCTAGTTTTATAATAAACGGCTACAAGGTGATAATCATCTAATGGCACAAATCCCAGATCTGGATCATCACCAAAGGAGAATCAATTGTTGCTCAGTCCAAAGACAATCTGTCCACCAGTATCCATTAAAAGACATCCATACAGTCTTGAGATACCCTGATGAAAACACAACCTTTCAAGGTAGATATGAGCTAATTTTGGTGATGATCTCTGTTAACTGAAAACCTGTGGCTGTGTAAAGCTGTTTTTCAGCTACCGGACAGGTGCGAGTGAAAGGGCTGAGGTTCCCTTCTGGGATCCATAAAGCATTACACACACACAAATTTCAAACTCAAAGAAGCTGAGAACTCAACTAACAAGTGTTAACATGCCAGGAATCCACAAATTGTTTGACTTTGAACTAAAAAAAAAAAACTGCCTTAGTAGACGTAATGAAATGAATATTTTCCTGCAATGACTGAAATCAGTCTCAGTTTATTTCTCGCAGCCTGTCTTATGTGCCATCACATGAGTCTATTGACTGTGTAGAAGTGTGGATGTATATATCAAGCCAACCTAAAGGGACCCAGTCACAATGTTTCACCTCTGGATCTGCACTGAGGACATTTTTGTAGATTCCTTTAGCTCCTGCATTGAAGCACAAGATAACCGCTGTAGTTCAGTTGTCACGATGTGTGTTCAAGACATCATGGGATGTTGTACCTATGGAGCAGAGGGATTATGGAAGGCCGCTGCAATTGCACTCTCCTCATTAGATGCAGGGCTGACTGTGCTCATTAGGCCAGCGGCAGCACGATGGGGATCTATTCTCCTGAGGTGACCAAAGGTGCTTACACAGACCCTTCAAGTCTCAGTAATGATGCCCCAGACCTGTCACTCTTGTCACAAGACTGACATGACCTTTTTCTGGCTCATGTGCTGAAGGAAAAATAAATTCTAATCTCACAGGCAAGAATAGTCTTCTTTTCCCTCCCAAATTTGAAAGTCTGCCCAGTTTTGCATCACCATGCACTGTGAATCTTTCAGGGCTGTTAATGCACTTTCCATAATAGTTGAAAAAAAAAGACCATTTCATGTGAATTTATTGGCGATTTAAGTGATTGTGATCCAGGTTTTAATCTAAGCACAAAAGCCAGACTTTGCCATTAAGACCTATGAAATAGAGGCATGCTGAGCAGCGACAGAGAGGCTGAATAGATGTCTGGAAGCAATCTATGAAAGATGGCTGATCAATGGCTGCAAAATGAAATGGGAGTTGAAAAGATGTCTTTTAAAGCTCATGAAAAGGGAACTTGTTGGAGGGCGTTTTGTTCAGCTTTCCATTTTTAACCTCAATCATCTGAACACAGCATACATGAAAGGTTGAAACAGTAACACGGGGGCCTACTGTGACTCTGATGGCTCCTCTGATGTCAAGTGAGGCCAGGACTTATGTGCCTGTGCGTAACATTTTAAGGTGGGAATTGTATGTTGTTATTTTCTCTAAACACTTTTTTTGTCTTAGCTTTAAGTGCCTTTATGCATTTTGGGAGACTTTTGTCACTTTATATTCAGCACTTTTGTGCTGAGATACAGATGAATATGCTGACACAGCCTGGAAATCCTAATGATAATAAAATCTAGATGAGATTACACCAGTCCTAAATTGCATCAGGCCTTGTAAAAATGATCTGGTCAGATCTAGTCCTCACAGGAGCCTTTCCAAACAAAGCCTGATTGTAATGGGCCACATGAAGCGCCAATTTAGCCCCACATGAGCTCCAACATACAAATGAGAGCGAAGACATACATTACGGTGAAAACATACATTAATCCTAGCCAGATTGGGGACTGTATGAATTATGCTAAGAACCTTATCTGTTATTTTTCCTTGGTCTCCTGCTGGGTGAATTGATTGCATTTTTGGTCTTAATCCGCAGCATGCCATGCATCTTGGGAGACAACCAGGGAGCCATCTTGAATAAATAGAATTTGGACTTGACAAAAGCCTCCTCCAGCTGAGCAATGAGAAAGCATCCTTTTACCACTGCGCATCCCCTGCTATGCCACATGACATTAGAAAATAGCCAGCCAGGGTTTACATAGAAAGGCTGTATCGATTTTCTGCTTCAGCTGCAATTTTTCTTGGAATATTATTTGTGTATACGACACTCATCAGGATTGATAAACCGAGTTTGTAAAACGCCTTCTGCTGTGGCGGTCCTCAAGAAACATTTCTGTGCAGCTGGAGAGGGCGTTTTAATGAGATTAATTAGATTGCTTATGAATGATGGTCCTCCTCCAATTACCTGGGCCATAATACCATTTTCCTCCACCCAGGGCGTTGTGCTTTGTGGAGCAGTGCCAGCCTTGTGCATGTGTGAGTTTGCAGCAGGAAATGATTAATCATCTCATCACCATCCCAAGAGATAAAATGACAGTAAAGAACAAAAGCCTCTCATCGGCTGTGGCGGTTTAAAGCCAAGAATCACTTCCTAAACGCCAACTCTGGAGTTCAATTAGACGATACAGGTTCAGCCTTTTAGTATGCAAGTTTTCTCAGCATTGTACCACAACACTGCAAAGGTCCATTCCTTTTCTATAATGAGGTTCCACATCCCATCAAATGACAGAATATCAAAGGTGCTTTGGCAAGACAGAGACAGTGCTGTTCCTGTTTTTCATTCCTGGAGGAAAGCAGTGGGGTACGGCCACCCTAGCATCTCTTTCCTTTCCCTTGCTGAAGGGCAGGAAGGGTCACAGACACAGAGGGATCACAGCAGAGAGTATGGCAGGCAAGAATCAAACCACAGCAGGATTCAGCCACGGATTGGAGAGCTGGCGGCTCCACGCAGTGTGCTGTGCAGGCTTTTATTGGCCCTTCTCCATCACACCTGTCACACAAGATTGGGTTTGTAGCTGCACTTCCTTCAGCTGAAAAGGCTAAAGTAGATTATGGGGGCAGGCAAGGTTGAAATGGAATAACCAATGGAATGGCACCAAGTATAATGTCTAACTGTCTGAATGCAAATCATAACAGAATTATGAATGATTTGTAGAGTTTACTGTGTTGCCTTGATGGAACAGCAATTGTCAAACATTTTCATGTCACCAGAGCCAATCACAACTCAGTTACAATAATCATTTTTACATGTGCTAATGTGTGCCATCAAGGGAACGGCTATGGAATCAAGTTACAGTGTTATTAATCTATTTCTCAATTTACTGTGGACCCCCAGGAGCAATGGCACGGCCTCTGGAAGTCCTCTGACCCACATTGAGAGACACTGTTACAACACTGAGCATGTTAGCATGAAGAGGGAATGTACTGCTCTTCCAGTGGTCCTTTCTTCTTTATGATGTGTGGTATTGACTCAAAATAAACTACAGTTCATTGTAATAAAGGAATATGTCACCAAATTGTTCACTTGTCTCAGATTCTATCAGACATACTGTATGTTAAAAAAAAACATCTTTTAGTACTTATAAATCAAAATCCCTCTTTTCTGCTGTTAAACTATTTCATCCATCAGCCTTTGGATACACACAGTACATTATAGTGTAGGTTTATGATGTATTAATTTTGATATCACAGGTTCATTGCTGTGGTTTTTCACTGCAATGAAGATTTTCTTCAAATGTCACAGCTTTTCTTTTCCTGCTGTCCCTCCGTTGTCACCAAACTGAGATTTTCTACCTTTGTGATTATTTCCGCTACAGAACATATTTACCCAGCTAATTTTGGCTGTGTGACTTTCAGTGTATGCTGTGTTGCCATGTAACCTGCTAAAATTTCTCTGCAGCAGTGGCACTGAGGCAAAGGCGTTGATTGCACTTGATGGAAAAAGTGAGTTGGGTTTTGTTCAGATGCTGACTTCAAAGAAGGGAGGGAAGGGAGGCGTTAGACAAAGAGCAAACACACAAACCTCGGTGGCTGTCTGTCTGTGTTTGAGTCCATCTATATTACTGTCATCACCTGCAGAGGTACCGTTTTTCCTCTGGGTTGATAAGTTGTCCTACGCAAACAGTGACACGTGGCTGCAGTTCTGCTCTTTACGCAGCAGACCCCATGGGAAGAACATGAGGTGTCTTCATCTGGGCGCCACCTCATTATGACTGCCTCACGCCACTTCCATCCTATTCCAATATACACTTCTCCTATGCCAAACACAAACACTTTATTTGTGTAATGCACAGAAATGCTACACTTTATCACTGCTTTCCTTCCTCACTCCTGAACACCTTTTGGGTGTAATAAAACAGATCAGAGTCATTGGGTGCTGACAGAGACTGACACTGAAACCTGCTGTTGTTGGAAAGCTGCCTGGGAGATGTTCATTACTCACAAAGCTTGTCGGTTTGGACAGGAGAGGAACAACGGTCTTATTAAGTGGAGACCTGGAGCAGCCGTAGGGGAAATACACACACACCCACACGTGCACCCACATGGGCTCTGAGAAAGTTTGAAGCTGTGGCTTCAACCGAGCTTTCCAATAGGCTGAGAGAAGTTGGGGGCTGCCAGAAAAATGTAAAACTTTCCAGTGATGGTGGAATTTGCTGAGTTCGGAGTTTGACATGGCTGACAGACAGACATATCGTGACATGACGACATCTACGATGTCAACGATAGAGCCTCAGTTCCAAGAGCGAAAGTAAAATTTAGCTGTGGAGAAATGTGACGGCCTCATTTTCACAGGAGCCTGCTGATATTGATTAGAGTTTTTGATGTCTGTCTGGCTCATTGCATAACTCTCACAAGAATAGATTCAATATTCCCGACATTGCTGTACCTGAAGCCTTGTTTCCATAGTAACTCTGCTCTCTGTCTCTCTAAACATAGGCCTCCTCACTGACTTCAGCTCTGTTCAGATCATCAAGCACAGCTGAAGAGGAGGCAGATGTGTGGACATAGACAATAATGTTCCTGACTTGAGGCGATGAAACAATTTGCTAGCTTGTCAGAACAACCAACGTCTTGCTGTTGTCCAAACCATAGAGGAACAGAAGGAGGCAACATAAAACCAGATGAAAATAGGGATTTATTTCACTCGGGAGCATTCATCTATCTTCCAGTAAGGAAGATTTACAAGGCACCACTTGTTGTCAATGAGGACACTTGGTTGTGTTTTCTGCTGTAAAGTTTTAATCAAGGCTCCCAATTCATCTCTCACCTGCTACTTTGCACCAAGTTTGCAAAATCTTAAAATAACTGCATCTCTCTAAACAACCCTGCTCTATTTCAGCCTCAAGCAAAATGGGTCCTTCATAAATCAAAACTACTGCAGTTGTGACGTTTCGAGGACGAGAGGGGAGTTGGCTGAATTTGCATTTGATGCAGTTGTTGCCTGTTTTTTTTTTTTTTTAGGTAAATCTCCACCACTACAGCATCTCCTGTAGCGGAGTCCAACAAGACACCGCTGATATAATCGCCAAAGGAGGTAGAAGAAAAGTAAGGATCTTTAAGGTTTTCAAAAAAATTCTGAACTTTTATATTTATCCGTCATAGTAAATGGCATTTCTGATATTTTAATGTGAGTTTTGTCTGTGATGAATCATGATGCATCTTTATCTAGGATTTTAGAGATCACACCAGTGAAGATTCAATGATTTGATTTAGGAAATCCTACACCTCTACAGCACTTACTAAATCTCTTCATTTCCTAAAGAAGAAACTGCGGATGTCTGTCGCAACCATGGCGGCTGCAGAGTTCTTCCTCATCTGGCTCCTTTCTTTGGCTTGGTGAGCCGTCCTCTGTGGAGAAAAATGGAACATGATGTAATAGGTTAACTCTGCAGTCAGCAATGAAAAGAAAAGTGAGATCAATATATTGAGCATCTCTAGATTAAAGTGTCTGAGCGGTGGCATAAACAGCGAGAAGTTCCCCTTATCACAACATGCAGTTCTTCACATCAGTTTAAACACGTCAGCACATGAAACTTCTCCTTCCAAACTGACACCCACTCGGATGAAAATGCTCTCTGACGTTAAAGTAAGGCACATTTTAGGTCACAATAAGAGCTGTGTTTTGAAGCCTCTGCTCTCAAATCAGTTTTTAAGAACTGAATTGTCTGTGATTATGAAATATTGACTGAAAAAGATCAAGAAGGAAGTCGTTCCCAAGACAGATAAATAGCATTCTGCTACAAATATATATCAATATGTCATACATCCACATCATGTGATGTTATTACAGGCAATATATAGCTTTGTGAGGGATGGTATGACTTTTGATCAATGTGTTTGACCATGTATCACATTACTGCCACCACAAATGAATCTCAACATGAGTGATGAGTCTTCCTTTTCATACAGGGATAAAGGAGAGGTCTATCCACCGTGCACCTTAAATGTAAGACAAATTGCTTCTGCCCCTTAAGCCCTTTAGCTCTAAAAGTGGATGCTGCGGTTGCAGTGATGCAGAGTGTGCACGTACGGCTTTGTGACAGACGGTGCAGAGCGTCTGCAGGTTTTCCAGAGAGCACTGTCCTCCTCCACTGTAGACCGGCCGGATGTGGTCAACCTGCCAGAAGTCTCCTTCGACTGGAGCGCAGATCATCTTATTCAACTAGAAACGCACACACAGAAAGCAGCATCTCAGTACTCGGACTACACTACAGCTTTAAATTGCCAAAATCAAGCTGTGATTGCAGTGCCCTCCCAAACCATCCATCTATGCTAAAGTAAATTTTCTGAAGTGATGTGATGTCTTTATGAGAATACTACCATGACCAAAACTGTACTATTACAGCGCTCACAAAATCATTTATATTAAACAAGTCACAGCACCACAGGGTCACTTGCAATGTGCTTCGCAATAAAGTCTCGAGGACTACACATGACAGGAAGACATACATGGTAGAGATCCAGCACAGGAAATAATGCAAGTAAACTGCAGAAAAAGGCCAATGATAAAGGTTTAAAGTGAGATTAGAGCAAGCCTGTGTGATGTGAGGATAAGACCAGTTGATGAAAACAATAACTGCACCAAATCAGTGACTATGAACTTTCTATTATCTATTACTAGCAGATGCCTCAGCTACAGCAAAAAAAAAAAGAAAAAAAAAAAAAAGAAAAGTTTTTGGCCTACATCAGCTGTACTGAAACTTAATCAGTGAGAACTTCTTAGTCTGCTAGACAAAGACAGAAATTAGGTTAAGACAAGTAGGTCAAGACACTTCCTAAACACTACACTAGTGTTTCTGAGCTGTTAATGAGTTAGGAATAACCAGAATTTTACATTTTTAGAATAACACACACACACACACACACACACACACACACACACACACACACGTTGTTAAAAGTGTTGGACTTTAAAAAGAAAGCCATTTTTTCTCATAATAATGTTTCCGTTTCATATTGAATACAACATTGATTTTCTATTTTAATAAAATAGCAAATATTTTAATAATGCTTCCATTGAAAATGACACAGACACCAATGTTGGGAGCCTAATATTCTGTAGCACACCCTAGTGAGATGACCACTGCAGCCAGGCTCTTTGTACTATAGCTCTTAATGAGACTTGTCCACTTCTCAGCTGGTAGTTTGGCTTCACTCTCCCTGAGCAAGCTGCTCCAGTTCTCTCAGATCTGATGGGTGCTTTCTCTCAACTGTGAGTTTCAGCTTTTTCCACAGACGTTTGGAAGGACTCACTTCTCACTATGCAGCATTTTCTTCTCATCTGTTCTTGGTACTTTTAGATAGATGTTTTAATGTTATTATCCTGTTGGAGCGGTGACTGAGACAGAGCTCTCCGACACTGGGCACTATGATTCTCTCCAGAATGCCTTGATAATCTTCTGATTTCACTGTGCCCTGCACAGATTCAAGACGCAGCAAAGCCGTCCCATAATGTAAAGTAACCAAGCCTACTCCATGTTTCACAGTGGGGATGGTGTTCTTCATTTTATGACTCTCAGTGCATTTCATCTGTCCATGATACTCTCTCCCAGAAGCACCAGGGCTTGTCCTTTCAGCAAACTTCACTCACCCTTTTGTTTCTTTTTCAAAAGTGGGCTCTTCCTGGATCTTCCTGCATTGGGACGAGTTTCATTCAGAGAGCCATGTACGCAGTGACTGGACACTGTACCATGATCTTGGCGGTCAGCTTGTACCTGCACTCTTCTTTTGTTCAATGTGTGCTCATTTTGGCTTACAGTCCCATGGACCTTAACGGATAGTCAGAGATGTGGGTAAAGAAGCAGAGATAAGTTGAATTTTGATCTCCTTGTAATTTATATATTAGTCTCCAAACACCTATATAGAGTTACTTGTTGGGCCTTCACTGGACCTGAACTGCACCTGTGTTTACAGGACCAGATTACAGAGCTTCTTGTGGCAAAGGGAAAGCACTGGGAACAACATGACCTGGAAACTGAACCAGCCTGTTGTTGCTTGCTGCTGCTGAACAAAATGTTGTATTAAAACAGCAAAAACACTGATCAAAGATAAGACAAACATAGAACAGAAGAAGAAATGACAGAATGCAGACTGAAAGAGAGAATACAGAGAAAGAGCAAAGGATGATTGAGAGAATCAGAAACAGAGGAAGAGAAGTCTGGTGGGAAGAGTTCAGGTCCAAAAATCTATTTTCCTGCGTTAAGTGCTACTCTGCTGACTTTAAGGCAGCAAGCTGGAATTGATCCCAACAGATTTAAAGAACAGGCCTGATCACCAGACCACAATTCACGTCTCTGTGCGCACACACACACACACACACACACACACACACACACACACACACACACTTCAGTCAATTTAACCTGCATTTGTGACAAAACCACACACCTTGCTACACCAGACCCCACTACTACACATTTACATACACCAGCATTCTGCAAACAGGCAACTAATGTTAACACACACACACACACTAAAATACCGATACACACATGCCAACATTCTCACATACACCAAACCAGACCTCAAGGTGCTTATAAAGACCCATACACACAAACCAGAACCCCCAGTATACACCAAAGAATAAGCCTATAATCTGGCGGCTCCTTCACTGCCGCGTCTTATCATGTGGCTGAGTTTGTTTCCTCTAAAGCTCAGAGCATCGATCGCCCTGATGCTGCTGCCGACGGCACTCAGGAGGGGGCTGAGTGTGTGTGTGTGTGTAGGGAGGGGGGGGGAGTTTTGTAGGATAACAGCCAACCAAATCAAACAGGCTTACTGGTCGAGGCCTGGCACTGGGAAAAAAATCAATGGGCCTAGCAATCCATTTTCTGGGAGCTGGCCCCTTGGAGTGCAGATCAACCTCTGTCTGTGTGTGTGTGTGCGTGCAGGTGGGTGGGATGGAGGATACAGGGTGCTTTTATTTTTGCATTTACACAAAAACAAAGACAAAAAACATCTTTCCTTGTCATGTAGCTCACATCAGGAGATTGATATCAGCGAAGCTGTTGTGTACACTGTGGCGTTTCTAATACTGTAAGTATAATAAAGTGGTTACACTTCACATTGCTAGTTTAATAGTGACGCAACAATGTCAATTTTTATGGAGGAGAAACTGGGGTTTAATAAAGTTATCTATTTAAACTGGAAATCCTCAAGTACTAGTACCTCAAAGCTGTTTTCCACTTCTGATTATCATGTTGATGTTAGTATTTATCTCAAAGCTTCCACTGAAATATCTGTATGAAAAAAATGTTGTTGTCTGCTCTTGTGCCTGACCTGTTTGAGTGACAGCTGGGCAAGCCAACTGTTCTCCAGCATCTTCTTGCGCTCAGAGGGCGGGGCATCGTAAACCTTCCGAAACAGGTCATGGGCATTGAGGCCACAGTGCTGACAGACGCCCTGCTCCACCTTCAGCACCAGCGAGCGCATGTACGACTGTCTGGAGCGCAAGTGAAATTCCTCCTGGCACCTGGGTGAACACAAATACATCTGGACTGGAATCTTCACACATTTACCTTAATGTTGTAAAGAACTGGAATTTTCTACTTACATAAACAAAGAAAAGGTGTTATTTCTTTTTTTCTACAGAAGTTATGAAAGAATCATCTCACCTTGTCTAAATGACCTGAATCTTATATTTGAAAACCACTTGAGGAAATTGAATTTCCACCTCAAATAGGAAGCAAGACTAAAGAGCTGCACTCATTTAGCTAGCCGAATATGTGAGAGAGCAGAAAAGAGTGCAGGGTCTCATTCAAGGATAGGAAGACTGAACTGGCAGTGTTTTTCACTTTGCATTTAGAGTATTCTTTATATTGGCATTAAAATACAATAATTATGAACTGAGGTTTGAGAAACCGACTGCTGCCCAATCCACTGTGCACCGGTCTCTGTAAGGTCTCCGGTGCCTGTCGTGGTGGCAATCCCCGAACCCGGTGGTGGACACCGGAAGTAAGGGATGCCGTCAAGCTGAAGAAGGAGTCCTTTCGAGCCTGGTTGGCTCGTGGGACTCCTGAGACAGCTGATGGGTACCGGCAGGCCAAGCGGGCTGCAGCCCAGGCGGTTGCGGAGGCAAAATCTCGGGTCTGGGAAGAGTTCGGTGAGGCCATGGAGAAGGACTATCGGTC